ATGCGGGAGTGTGTGTGGGAGTGTGTGTGTGTGAGAGAATGCGGGAGTGTGTGTGTGTGTGTGTGTGTGTGTGGGAGAGAATGCGGGAGTGTGTGTGGGAGTGTGTGTGTGTGAGAGAATGCGGGAGTGTGTGTGTGTGTGTGTGTGTGGGAGAGAATGCGGGAGTGTGTGTGGGAGTGTGTGTGTGGGGGGGGAGAGAATGCGGGAGTGTATGTGGGAGTGTGTGTGTGTGAGAGAATGCGGGAGTGTGTGTGTGTGTGTGTGTGTGTGTGGGAGAGAATGCGGGAGTGTGTGTGTGTGTGTGTGTGTGTGTGTGTGTGAATTTTATCTTCTACAGAACAACCTGGGGTTTATTATATGGAAAGAAGAAAACCTAATTTCTTTTTCCTTTTTGTTTTTCAAAGAAGGGTTTAGAAACAGATGGCATGGGTGAAGCCTGAGACCTTCATGGGGGCCGTGGCCACAAAACCAGGCCAGCAGAGAAGCTAAAGGACAGACTTGGCCTTGCTGTCACCAGCCAACAGGGTTCCTTTCTGTCTCCTCTTCTGGAGAAGGTAGACTGGGGTAAATGGGGAATGTTAAAACATTTTTTAAAAAAATAGCTACCAAAAAGATTAAGAAATCCCTAATCACTTAGATACTTTTAAATAAATCCACGATGGAACTCCATGCAGTATTAAAATATAAGTGAAAAATATCTAATAACAGAAGAAATGCTTATGCTACTTTGAAGAAAAAGAGCCAAGTAGCTAGAAAATCCCATTTTTATAACAATATAAACAATAGATATTAACTCTGGGTAGTGGATTATTTTTGTTGTCTTTGTTATATTTAAAGGGCTCCAAGTTTTCTACAATGAATATATAATTCATGTATTTAAAAGTTTAAAAAGTTGTTAAAAAAAAAAAGCAATTTAGAACTTTATTTCCACTGGAAGTGATAAAATGTCCAAACAAGTATTTTTAGGTCCACTCTTGCTAGACACTCCTATTCTACATGAAATCACACTGGGCCTTCCTTTGTGACCGAAATACAATGTAACCCTCAGAAGTGCTGCCTCACCAGAAACCCTCTGCCAAGGGTCCCCGGGAAGACAGCGTGCACATTTACAGGGGCACACTGTGCTCATCTGTCCCGCCCGTCCTCTGCCTGCAGACGCTCTCCCCTCTCACAGAAGCATGAGCTTGGAGGCGAAAAGAATGGAATCTCTCGGTCTTTCTGGAAATGACCCAAATTCCAGCAGAGGGTCGGAGAGTCAGTTTTCATTTCAATACATCTCACTATTGCCCCTATTTGTAGAAACAACTTACATACTTGTCAAAAACTCAGATTTTTTTTAAAGGTTCAGAAACTTTGCTCATAAATGCCCTCCCCAGCACGATTTCCTCACGACAGATTTCACAATGCAAAGACATTTTGCTCATTTCCTGATAAAGCCCGCCCAAAGGGACCCGGTAAGACTGCTGCAGTGCCTATCCCTGGGTCGAGCGCCCCATTTCTACAGGACTTGTACTTGCAGGAGCCCCAGGGGCAGAAAGTCGCCAGCTATTTACATCCCATTCATTTGCCACCAGTCTTTTGGGTTACACGACATATGCTTAGAATAGAGTTAAAATAACCTCCAGGTGAAGTCACACGATGCTAGCGGATAAGGACTTTGTTCAAAGTCTTTAAAAAGCACAGGTAGCTCGTTTCCTTGTGGATCAGAGATGGCTGTGACGGGTTGTACTGTATGGGAGAGGGGTGTGAGCTCAGCTGAAACTGACTGGTAACATCCCACTCCCAGACCGCTGTAACTGCCTTACAGACACACGGCTGGGGAGGGGGGTATCTGAGGGGCCCTGCAAAGCACCAAAGCCTCGGGCATGCCTGGCTCAGGCTTCAGCAGGAAGCTTCAGCGCAGTGTCTGCAAAGCAAGCAGCAGAGTGGGGGACGGGCTCTGCTCTGCACTCAGACGTGAGGGAAAGCAAGCTGGGCGAAAATGCAGTACCCTCCACACCGTGGACCGGGGCCACTCTCCTGCACTCGCCCGCACTCACCAAGGGTTCAAGTCAGGTGGCAGCACTTGGCCGGCTTTCCCAGCCTTTCCCAGGAGCCAACACTCTTTTCAGAACTGACTGATCCAGGAAAAGTTCGCCTTCACACCAGAGCGGAGAAGCAAGTTTCACTCCAATGGGCCCGGGAAAGGTCGTAACCTTGCCTGACTCATCTGGACACGTTAGCAAGGGCTGCCCACCTGAGACCTGAACTCAGCCTGTTCATCTGTCAGTCCGGAGACAGTCACATGTACGTGAGCACAAGCGGAGCTGAGAGCTCAGAGCCTGCAGAAAAAACAGGCAAATCGCTTCCCTGGCCTCCGGCACTGACCCCAGGAGACGCTGCTCCCCTAAGCCCCCCGAACGCTCCCGCTTCACACACCTGGACAAAGAGCAGACAACAGCTTTCCTCATCATCCGTCCCCTCCCTTCCTGCACAGGAGACAGCAGCTGGGAGAGTGTGGGCAAGTAACTTTTGGGAGGAGGATACTGCATTTTTCAGAGACAAACGCTGCTATTACACACATACATAGATTTAAAAAAACTTACCTCCTCAAAAGGCATAGACCAACTACCGTTTTCAATCATAGGTACAAAGACAGTTGAAATAAAAAAGAAGATCCGATGAAACTGCGCACCTACTAATACATTTAGGAAATGGCCGTAACAGGAACGGACACTGGTTTGGATTTGCTGTTTCTCCTTAGAGTGTCGTGGACTCTGAGTTCTCCCTGGGACAGCCAGCATCCAAGGGAAGAAAGTACACTTGAGGCAGCCAGAGGGCAAGTCTCAACTCAGGAAGACCAAGCCTGACTCACTGAAACTCCTCCCTCCCCAAGAGCTGTCCGCAATCTGCATGACTGATGAAAACGCTGTGTGTAAAGTAATTCTTAGCAGCTACCGTCTAAGTTGTTTATGCTGTGTTATCAGAGCTGGGTAGAAGGAACTTCCTTAGGTGACAAGGTTGGAAACCTTGCAAAATAGTTCATGTCCGGCAACACAGTGACACAGCTGGGCAGGGGAATGCAGAACGGGTTCCAGGTCTCCTCCATGTCTGAGGGCTGAAGTTTGTATAAAACAGTACAAGGGATGGTGAATGTCATTTTTTCCAAGATGAAAAAAACAGAAAAATGTGAGCTGGCAATGAAAACAACATAAACTGGGCCTTAAAGGAAAAAATGATGAGGAAGGAGTCAGCTTCATAAACTCCAGCTCAGTGTTTGGGGTGTGTTGTCCGCTGATGTAATGAAGTCTCCGCACATATTTTTGAAGATATTTAAAGGTCAGGAGAATATGTTTTCCTAAAAGATCCAGTGCAATTTTATAAGCAACAGCACACCCAGCTCTCACTTATTTTGTTATAAGTGATAACAAAAGAGGTGAAAAGTGATTTCAAAAGAGGTGATAAGGCCCGGCCATTGTGGCTCAGTGGACTGAGCATCTTCCCATGGACTGAGAGGTCCCAGTTGGATCCCGATTCCTGGTCAGGGCACATGCTTGGGTTGTGGGCTCAATCCCTGGTGAAGAACATGCAGGAGGCGGCCAATAGATGTTTCTCTCTAACATCGATGTTCCTATCTCTCTCTCCCTTCCTCCCTCTCTCCTTTTTTTTTTTTGGTACGGATAGAGTGGGAGGGAGAGAGAGAGAGAAACATCGATGTGAAAGGGACACATCGAGTGGCTGCCACCCGCACGACCAACCAGGGCCGGGGACAAACTACAACCGAAGTACGTGCCCTTAGCGGGAACCGAACCTGGGTCTCTCCGGACCGCAGGCCGACACTCTAACCGCTGAGCCAAACTGGCCAGGGCTCTCCCTTCCTCCCTCTCTAAAAAATAAATAAATTTTTAAAAAGGTGATAATGATCACATTCAAATTCCATCAGGTTTTTGACATTCAAAGACAAATGCTTACATGTGAAATGCTGAAATGTCTACGTTGTCTGTAAATGAAATTTTGAGAAAGAAACCTGGATATTTAGAATCATTTTGTGCTCTTCATTTACCCAACATACCCAATTTTATCTACCTGGTGGAAATTTAAAAATTTTAAATGTCAAACTAAAAACAAGATCTTGTCAGCAATAAGTAACTGGCAGTTGACAAACCAGAAATGATCAACTGTGTTTCTTTTGGCATTAAAAACAAACAAAAAAACAACCTTAGATTATAGCCCAAGGGACAGCATACTTTCAATGTAAATGACCAGCTAGTAAATATTTTCAGCCTTGCACGACTATGGTCTTTGAGACTACTCAACTCCTTCACTGTGTGCAAAAGCAAGCAATAACTAAACAATGGATGTGGCTGTGTTCCAATAAAACTTTATTTAAAAAAACAGGCAGTGGGCCAGGTTTGGCTCACAGGCCATAGTTTGCAAATCCCAGCTCTACTCTAACTTACAAATCAAATTTTAAAAAAGCAAACGGGTTACAGAAGATGTAGAAACACATGAGTGTGCCATAACTTTCTCAGCAACACCACTTCAACTGGAAACAAACCTACTAAAAACTGAAGAAAGTCCTTGGAGAATTCATCCGGAAGAGCGATAAACATGCTTAGAAAGTCTTACTAGGCATACCACTTACACCTCCCCCACGTCGAACATAACTCAATCGGCAGACAAGCACCATCAGCCACCTGCTCCTCCTCAGTAACCTGCACGAGACGCTGAGGCCCAGGGCTTGCCCTTCCACCACCCGACAGACCGTCCTCCAAGCTAACGGAGACCGAGCGGCTCTTCTGAAGTTTATCTGTAAGTTTTCAGGGTTGTCATAAAACCACCCTCTTGACAATTACTATTCATGAAAAGCACATTATTTCATGACATAAATATTTCCAAAAGCCAATCACAGTCTCTGTGATGCGGAAAAATAATAAAATGTAACTTTCTTTTCATGCATAGAAAAACATTTTTCAAACATGGATTCACTTATCATGACTTCTCCAAATGAAAAAGGGCCCAACACAGTAGGAAAAGGGGAATGCCCCCCCCACCCCAAGGTAGGACGTTTAGCATAATTTAAATTCTTCACTAGTGAAGTTAAAAACAGAATGTGATACTGCTCTAAGTTATTTCGTTAGACAAGTGAGGATGGCAAATAATACTAGTACAATTAAGCTTTAATTCAAATGTTTTGTTAGCTTTGTTTTTACTGTGCACAATTAAATAGCTTCATTTTAAATTACACGCAGAGACAGTATGTGCGAGAAAACTTTGTAAACTTAGAGGAATCATTTTCTTTCTGTTTGAATTATATTTTGATTTTTAAAATTACTATGTCTAACCTCAAGAAAGAAGTGAAACATCTGAAATTTAATTAAACTGAACATAAATAAGATACTTCAGTTAGAAGTTATGCATTGTCATGCTGTACGCCAGAGCCAAGAGCATACCCTTTCCTGATTCTTTCCAGGGCTTGCCCATCTAAAACAGGTAGTAACATAACCTCACTCGTGCTTTGGGAGAGTCACTGAATTTAATTAACTAGCTGTGCTTTTTATGGCTTAGCCCACATTTGTGCAAGTCACTCTTTAATTAAACAAGAAAAGCATAGCATCTGGAGGCAGGTGAAGGCTGCAATTCTCTGAAAAGTGCTGTCAACTGATTACATTATTAGAAAACTAACTTTCCACAGATGGAAACAATTTATCTCCTTAAAATAGAAAATATTTTAATTTCTGAAATTGGTAACTGCTTATTAGGGGCTTGGCAGCTAACTCCTCAAATGTGCTGAACAGCTGCACGCATCCACGCGTGCCTGCTTTCGTGTGAGGTGGAAAGGCACGGGGTGCACTCCTCCAGCCAAGCCTCCTTCCGCGCCGTCCCCGAGAGCCGAGAGCCCACGTACACATGGCAAGCTCCGAGTGCACGGGGCTGTTCCACACGTGTGGCTGGGCCCAACTCAGGAAGGACAACAAAAGCGACTTAGAATGCATATGCTATATTCTTCTTCCAATGAAGTGTCCTTGTTCTGGCTTGGAATCTAGTCCTGGAGATAAGCAGACAAGTCCTCCGAAGGCTGTGAGCAGTCAGTGTAGAGCTCGCGGTTTCAAACGCAATCTGATGCCAAGACCAGGTAGCACGGGAAGTGTACACGTGTGTATGACCTATGCATATGTGTTTATGTCTCTGCATGTGTGTATATGTATATAGATACCACATACGTGTACATGTGTATATAGATAGCTATCTATTCATTTTCATATTTACATATTTTCATATATACATGAAAATGAATATGCCACCCACTTTGGTTTTCCTTCCCCAGTAAAGACAGGCACTCGAGTCTGTAGTCATTCATTGGCTCCATTCTGACAGAAACCTGCCTGGGGTTTAGGAAAGGAAGATGATGGGCCAGACACCGATCCTCCCGGAAAACTTTGCTTGCATTGTCTTGAGAGAGAATTCACATACAGCTCACAACACCAATACAGTTCATCTTTTAAAATGCACGGTGCAGTGGTTTCAGTGCATTCACAAAGTTGTGACACCATCACCACTACTAACCCCAGAACACGTGTGTAGGGTTCTATAGCTAAATGAACACCAACACCGTTTCGTCTGTCTTTGCGGTTGAGACTTCAGTGTTGGATACAGGTCAGGACGGTGACATACCCTGAGAACGCAGGTATTTGTGTGTGTCATAAAAATAAACCCAACCCACATTCAGTCAGACCAGTGAGCAGGGGGGCCCTGGGGCTCCATCTGCACCACCGGGTCACCCCGCCTCTGGCCTCCCTGCAGCAGCCCTTCGTCCACCTCCACGCTCAGGGCTCAGGAGGGCTCCGAAAGGAACCCTCTCTCAGAATACCTCATTCCGTGACACTTCAGGGCCTTTGTAACATTTTATTGCATTGACACAACCTTCCTAACTCTCTGGCCACGTGGCCAGCTAGAGGTGAACATGGCATTGTGAGCAGTGTGGGTCCCAGCGGTGGGGAAGGGCTGTTAGTGACCTCTGACTCAAAGCCTCAAGATCTCCCCTAGTTATTCTTAAGAATTTATATAACTAGGTTCTCAGTCCAAGATCTAAGAATCCTAAAGTCCCAGGACCTACACCTTATTCTTGACAGGATTACATTTAGAAGATGCTAAAAGGTATTTTCTAAGACACTATCCTAGTATAATTAAAATCATTATAATTAGCTCCTCAAACTAGAAATTGAATATGTGAAACAACAAATCTGTGGATGATTGAAAACAATGTTGTCGATTGTCACCTTGAAAATGTAATGTAAGTTGAGGACTATCATTTTACCCCCAGTACAAAAATCTAGCCATTATTAGAGGGTCTAGGGATGTTAGTTAGATCACACGTTGACAAGCCATTCAGTAGCACAGAAGAAACAGAGAAGGAACCCGGTGTGCACACAGAAGAGGCCGCAACACTCATGCTAAAAAGTAGAGTTTTCAAGGCAAAAACAAAAGGTTTAATTCTACTTTGATTCCTCCATAAAAATTGTACACATTGATAGTCTTATGTGTGGTGAGCATTTAAAAATAATAATATGCATTGTACTATTTATTTATACTTATCTGCTTTGATACAAAAAGGCTTGCAGAAACAGTGACAAGTTCAGTCCCAGACAGATTTTAAATATATAATTTTAGTCTTCCATTTCCCTCTCTTCTATTTTAAAGATTTTATTTATAACGATGGTGGCAGTGAGAACACTAGATTGACGTAAGCAGGAGGAGGCTTCGTGGGTCCTCGAACATGTTTCCTGATTACTACCGAGAGCCTTTCTAAAGCAGCGCGCTGCCCGGGGTGATGGCTGGGGCAGCTGGCTGGCCCGGGCCTGACGCCAGGAGGCCTGCAGTGCCATGGGTCATGTACCAGGGCAGTTCTGTAAACCGAGGAAACAGACTGATGCTAGACTACTGGACAGCAATACCTCAAGAATACGAGGACGATCAGTGATGCATGTAAGGTGGCAGTACTCTAGTAATACTTGGGTAAATTGAGGCAGTAGGCCTAAGAAGGCTCGAGCCCATTTACTGCACACCAGCCCCGTGCTGGGTACTTAACATCCCCCAGCCCCACCTTCACGGCAGGCCCTCAAGGCAATGTGTGCACTGCCTATTTGCAGAGGAGGAGGAGGCCCAACAGGTAGTTCAAGACAATGAACTATGGCACAGGGATTAAAGACCCCAACGTGCATTCCAAATCCTGGCCTTTTTATTTTTTTCGAAAAGCCTGGATTCCAACTCAGGTCTGACTACAAAATCTATATACTCCTTCCACCATGCCCCTCTCAGAACCCCCCAGGCTATTCAATTTAGCAACAGAAACAAGATGTACTGTGTGACCATCACTGCCCGGGCCCAGCTCTCTGACCATAAAGGCAACTCTAGTTCCAAAAGAGGAAGTCATGCCACCATGGGTCACTTAATTCTTAATGCCACTCCCTTGCTTTTGATTTTTTTGGCAGGACATCGTAACGTTGCTCATGGTGCAAACACAATATTCTCTTATCCTGATGTACCGACAGGGAAAGAAAGGGAACCATGCTTTTGTAGGAACCTGAAGAACTGACACATTGGAGAGAAATGATAATATTTCAGTTGAGAAAATAAGTTTGGATTCAGTCACTGCATCGTGGGGCCGTTGCTCATCACCACTGCAGTGATCTACCTTTGTGAACAGCCTGAGTTTTGAAAACACTGTTAGTTATGTAACTAAGATGTTAAGATGAAATCATTTTGATTCTGCAAGTGAGTACTGTGGTGAAGTGTCACTGTCACTCATAAATTTGTGGAAATAAATTTTGCAACAAACACCATGACTGTGCTCAATACGACCTTTGTGGCTTTTATTTGTCCTTCCCAGGGAGCTGGTGTTTCCAATCTGCTACAGACACGCTGAGTCTGAAGCATTCTCGGCCAGTGTCGGAGCAGATCACCTGCTAAGTCTCTGGATGTGACCGGGCACAGCTAAAACAGCACTCTGCCATTTTCCTTTTTCTCTCATTTTTGAAAGTAGTCGAGAGCCACTTTCTCTCTTTCTTTTTCCCTCTCTTTCTCTCAGCTTCTTAGGTAGATTCCCAGTATAAATGCAACAGGTGGCGTTACCTACAAATATACAAACTGAAAGAAAAGAAAGATTATGGGAGGCGACTCAGGAAGTCTCCTGCAATGAAACAGACCTGGACATTTAGCATGGCCAGACAGTGTCTAAGTCAAGCAGGAAGGGACGGAGGGACTTGAACTTGCTGCAACTGCTGTTCTAGGGTCAAGAAGACCCCGTGCTCGGGCAGTGCCCGAGTCTCCTTACCTTGTATCTGTCCATGGGGTCCTCCTGCTGCAGCTGGCTCTCGCGCATTGTCTGATATTCCTTCTCATATTTCTTCAGCTTCTTGGTGGGCACCTGCGGGGATCCGAGAAGCATGTTAGACAAGGAGATGATGGAGGAAAACCTTGCTGAGGTGTTTCCCAGTCACGTCTCCGGCATCCTGATGGCGCTCGCCCAACTCAGCTAGAGGGAGACCATGGAGATGCTGGAGTAGGGTCTGCACGCGCCCTCTGCAAGGCCACACGGTGGACATCGGCCTGTGGGTCATCAGTCTGGGTCACACGGTCACTCTGCTCTCACTGCACAAGGCCGCCCAGGCCATACACAAACGACGAGTCTGGCCCTGTTCTAACAACTGGTTTTACGAAGTGGGCTGTAGTTTGTCCCTCTCTGTTCTACAGTATTCTCGTGTGCCACACCCTTCTCTCGTTAATGTATTCGACAGTGCTGTTAATTCTTTAACTACCTTCCTTCAAGTAAAATTCACTCATAGCCTTCTACCATGTTGAAAATGAAAATTATTAAAAAAAAATGTTTGACATGCAGTTAATTTACCAGGCAGCAAGGACATTCTGAAGTTCGTCTCCGAAAGCTCCAAGCTACTGCACTGAATGAGACCAGAGGTCATCTAAGGAGCTCGTCTACTTCTATTTCATCTAAGGATGTCATCTTTAAAAGGCAACAGCCTACCCTTTTCTGAGTAAAGATTAGAATCTCCCAGAACCTTCGAATTTTTAAATAAATAAGCATTCGGCACTAGACAGAACAGGGTCGAAATGCCTACTGTATCTCCACAGACCTCTCTTAGCCTTTCTTCACCTTAAAATGACAGCAAACAAATCTCTAGTTCCCAGTGGTGTCAGGAGAACTGAGTGATATAGGTAAAGCATCTAAAATAATGCCTGCGTCATGGACATTTTTAAATTTTTTTTTTTTTAATGAATGCCCTCAACATTAAGGTATTGTAATCTATTTTGTTCCAGAGAACAGAGAAAATCTACTTGCAGGTTTTTCATGGACAATCAACACGAAAAAATCCCATTAGAAATCAGAATCTTTTTTTTTTTCTTTATTGATTTTAGAGGGAGAGGGAGATAGAAACGTCAATGAGAGAGAACATCGATTGGCTGCCTCCTACATGCCCCCACTGGGGATCGGGCCCACAACCTGGGCATGTGCATGGGTCAACGCTCAACCACTGAGCCACACCAGTTGGGCTAGAAATCAGAATCGTAATCTTTAGATCCTAAAGGAAGTGACTTAAAATGAAGAAAAACAGTTTGATTTTTTTAAAGATTACAAATGTGTTATTTTGCTGAATTCTTGGGGATGTGGTGAAGGCAAGGGTGCTGCTGATGCCTCTCAGTGTCCATCAGGATGTCTACCCAAGTGGCCCCTGTGAGGCTCTCAACAGACTGTGTCAAAACTGTGTACCCCAGGACAAAACTGATTTTATTTTTAGAACACATGTGTATGTGTGTGTGTGTGTGAGAGAGAGAGAGAGAGCAAGAGAGAATGGACAGCACCCAGGATGGATATACAATTATCATATAGTTTTCTGGGATGAGGATAGTTTAATTCTCTGGAATCTGGCCAGAGAGTTTGTTTAAAAAAAAGCAAAGACGCCCTTCTTTTTGTAATTACTTTGTTCTTCCCACCCAGGAGCACTCTGAAGTGCGGAATGATCTGCTTCTCACCACAACTGGGAAGTTTCCCAAACTCAGACCAAACCTGGCAGACAGTGTAAGTCATTCAACAACACGACACCAATCTTCATCAAGCAAGAGGTCGGACATGCCCCAGGGTGTAACTGAGTTGCAAAAGCTCGGTTGAAGATTGTCATGAGATACACTAATCCTTATTACCCCATCTCCGGGCACCTTCACCCATTCACTGAGAGGACTAGAGCGCAGTAGAAGGAAAACACCATCTGCCAACCATGCGACCTCAAGATCATCAGATGAACAAGGAGAAGCTATATGATCATGTGATAAAATCTATTTTTCTTGACCTTAATAAGGGCCTCAATTTCTTCCCATTTTCTTTTCTCTAATGTATTAGTCATACACTTGGAAAACAAGCAAACAAACAAACGACTCTCGAGATGAAGTGGCAATCATTAGCACTGAAGGAAAAGTGGCAAAGTCTGAGAGTTTAAGCAGTGACCGTGTTTCATGTGTATCCCCAGGGGCAGGGTCCAGGGGAGAAGTGGCAGGTGTCTTGAGGAGGGCGCCTACCCCAGCAGCTGTGTACCCACCGATCAGATGTATTTCAATATCTTTGCAACCAAATATCAGTACCAGCAGGTACCAGGCTGCACATCAGGCCTGAGTGGAAGTATTTTCTACATGGTTCCAAAATGGATCCACTCACCGGTGATGCAATTACATTTGGCAAGCTAGCTCCTAGAGAATTTATTCTAAAACCACATTTTTTATATTCAAAGTATTGCTGAGATATTTTTACATGTAAAAGAGTGTCCTTTTAAAAAGTCAACCTTGCTACTTATGTTAAGAGGTTCATTTCAAAGTGAATTTTTTTAATGCATTAAACACCCTCCATAAGCTAATCGTTTCCCATCTGGCTGAGATTCTAGGATGTTTGGCTTCAGCTTGCTCAGGGAAACAGAGCAGGTTCCCAGAACAATATGTTGCTAGGAAACCTTCCAAGCTTATTTATCTTGTGCTGTGGGGTGATATCGAGCATCCACCTGTGATTGGCACAGAGAGAAAGTGGGTGAAAGGGCAGAGGAGGAAGAGACAGGAGAGCTGATAGGAAATTCCTGTTATTTATGACAGAGAGAAAATGGACGGTTAGTTTCTAAAACTGTGCCCCAGGACAAAACTGATTTTATTTCTGGGCACTGTAATACTGAGCTTGAAATTTTTCTTATTAGAGAAAGGAATAAAAATCCTCTTTAGTACATAGTTTTAATTAAAAGAACACAAAATCATCAAGAATTATTAAAACAGAAACAACCTAATATCCCAGGAACAGTATAAGTATCTCTCTCCTTAAGTTAAATAAATGTAATTCAAGTGTGCACTTGAAGGGTATGTTAAGAAACACCAATTCCTTTCCATGTCCACCTAATTTGGGGGTCCTGACCCACCAACCATCCATCCTCTGCTTGTCCAACACCTCCAATTTGGCTACATTCAGAAAATGTCCTCAAATAATCCACAGTGGTTTGTAAGTGCAACTGACAATGAGAAGTCATGACTTCAAAATAGTATTTATTAAAATCAAAGAACCAAACAACAAGAAAAGAAAAAGCAAACAGGATATCCAACCCTGGCAAGGCAACCCCAACCAGTATGACAGCAACCGTTTAAATTGGCCAAGGCTGACCTCTCGGCTTGATGATATGTTTAGGGAAGGCAGCGTTTAAAACAGAACCAGTGTTCTCATCGTTTGCATATTTTGTGATATTTCATAATGTGCTTGGCCCTGACATTTGAATGTATAACATAACCGTTTATATGGAGAGAGTAAGTTTGGGCTGGAGGGATCACGTGGCTGGACTCTGGAGTCCAGGAGGGTCTGCTGCCTCGTGGCCCGTGGTCCTTCCTGGTGTTGGGCTACTGGGGACAGTATTTCCAAAACTTAAGTCGTCTGAATACAATTTTCGCTATTTTTGCCATATCCCAACACCTTTTACTATTATTTTTCTTTAAATCAACTAAATGTTTATATAAATCTATTTCACAAGGAAACAATCCATTTGAAAGCAAGAATCAAAACAGACTACCATGGTAGGCAGAAAAATGGCCTCCAGTAAGTCTGCATCCTAACTGCAGAACCTGTGAAGGGAGGAAATCCTCTTATGACCAGTGTCCATACGCTTCCTTGCCCAGTTACAAAATGCATTTCCTCTGCACTACATTTTGACAATGGGCCAGTCACTTGTGAGAGCTACTCTTCAGGGCCTGATGAATCATATTTCAGAAAAAAAAGACACAGAAATATTTATAGATGAATGCAAATGCTGGCAAAGTAAATCACTATATAAAGAAAGGCTGATAATATCTGGTGGTCTCCTGAGGGTCGGAAACCTGAGTACCTAAAAAATTAATATGCATAACCCATGGACACACAATAGTGCAGTGAAGGCCTGGGGGGGGGGGCAGGAGTGGGATAGAGGGGGTCAATGGAGGTAAGAAGAGGGGACATCTGTAATACTTTAAACAATAAAGATAAATTTAAAAAAAATAATAGGCCAGAGGTACCAGCCATTATACACTGCTTTCTCTCACTTCAGTCATTTCTTAGGATGAAGAGAAATGGTTCCATCTAAGATATTAAAATCACTGGACAGAGAACAAATAGATAGGAAGTATAGGGCATTTCATGGTGATCTGGGGGAATGGGAGGGTGCTGAGAGTTTCCAATTCAGAATCGCTTCTGCAAAGACTTTTCGAGATCTATCTGGGCAGGAAGTGGATTGGTGTTCAGCAAAAGAAGCCACTTTGACTCCTTTTGAGCTTTTAGTACTAGGAGGGGGGAAGCGTAGTCAGTGATATTTTACCCAGAGAACGTAACAGCCTAGAAATAATTATTAATTGTATTCTTTGTTTGATTGAGGTGTAATTGATATATAACATTATACTAGACTCTGATGTACAACCTACTGATTCAGTATTTGTGTATATTGCAAAACGATCACCACAATAAGCCTAGTTAACATCCATCACCACACATAGTTACGATTTCTTTTCTTGTGATAAGATCTTTAAAAACTCACGGACACGAACAACAGTGTGGTGATTGCTGGGGAGTTGGGGGCAGGTGAAGAGGGTCTAGGGGGACAAATGGTGATGGACAGAAACTTGACTTGGGGTGGTGAACACACAATACAGTGTACAGATGATGTGTAGAAGTGTGCACCTAAAACCGGTATAATTTTGTTAACCATTATCACCTCAACAAATTCAATAAAAAAAATCAAATTATATGTTAAAGAACTTTTAAGATCTTTTCTCTTAGCAAATTTCAAATATGCAGTCACCATGCTGTACATTAGATCCCAGGACATTTATTTCAAAACTGGACATTAGTACCTTTTGACCCTCTTC